CTTGTTATCCTTCACTTTATGTTATGTCAATTGATATTAAAAAAAAGTTGGTTTTTTTATGGATAGAAACACGGACAACATCATCTCATCACATGATGTAGGAACAGAGATCATTTAGAGTACCATATGGGCTTAAAAAGATAACATAAATAACTTTATCATATAAATTGGATTGAGTGGAGTATTCATTAAAAGATATAATAAAATGATTAGAATGATTTCTTTTAAAGAAAGACACAAATAAAAATCATAATAAGATAAGGCACGTACTTAAAGACTTATTTTGAGGTAAACCACGTCATAAACATATTTTTATAATGTCATATAGACAGCTATAACATGTTTATATGAAGAAGTTTAGTGAGGATGAGGTTGATGGAGGTTGTGTGGTTTTTATTGTTTACAACAAGATTAGGCTAAATAGATTTTCTCATGATATGAATGGATTATTTTTTAAGTTTGATGTTGCAACTTTTTATAGAGATCGAAGTGTTAAGGAATTTATGAACTAGCTTACTAATTATGATAGAATGGATAACTTTCTCATTGTAAAAACAACTCCAAAATAGTTTGTTAGCAAAAGTTAGAATTTTTTTCAAAGTTGGTTCCATTATAGATAATTATTAAGGGATTGATTTGTTTCCTTATATTACATCATAAAAAGATAAAATCCAAATCATCTTTTGTGAACTAGTTAATACAAGAAATGGTAAAAAAAAAAAAAAAACATCCAAATCATCCATGTACTAAAATCCTTTAAAGATGTTGCTTTAAGTGCTCATTAACAAGTCCTAGCCATATCAGTGGTTACCACTATCAATCTTATAATGAATCTTGTTCACATTTTTCTCATTGAAAAAGACTTAGATACAAGACAAGATCTGCACAAAATTATAAGATTGAACACCACCTCCACAAAGTGATAAATTCTCTATTTTATCATTAAAAGTTACACATTTATTTTTTTAAAATTATGTCTCTGTTAAAACCAATTTAAATAACTATATTATCTTACAAACTCAAGAGAGCACATGCATAACATAAGAAGCATCCTAGAGATTGTGAAATAAAAAGGTGGCTTTAAATGTAAAATTTTCTCAACAAAATTGATAAATAATATAACATCAGTCATTGAAAAACCATTTTGATTATGGTTATCCTTCATTATGCTATTGGCTTGAAAAATATAGCTTTGGTTTTAAGTCTCAAAAATCATTATTATTAATTTATGTAGTTACAGAAGGTATGCCTAATTTCTTTATCATGATAGTATAGATAATTATGTGATGTATTCTTTTTATATATAAGCTAAATAAGTGATGACTATATTAATTAAATTGAAGAATATTTCTTTATCATGATACTCTAGATAATTATGTGATGTATTCTTTTTATATCTAAGCTAAATAAGTGATGACTATATTAATTAAATTGAAGAATCACCCCAGTGAATCATTGAACCAAAGCATTCAAATGGTTTCTTTCCCATTTCATTTATGGTAATTATGGATTCTAGTCTTGTTTTTTTATGTATGCCTTTTTTAACCTTTATGGTAGCTATTAAAAGCCACAATTTATATAGACAATCTGATTTTATTAATATTAACAACTAGAACTGAAAAAAAAGATTTTGTAAACATATTACAAAGTCACGTTAAATTCTATATATAGCAAAAGATGACAAAAACATACTCATGAGATAACTGACTGCTGAAAACAAAATAGCAATAATTTAGGATGCCAATTTTCATAGACTTACATTGTCATTTCTTTAAAAATGCTTATAATAATTTAGGATGCCAATTTTCATAGACTTTGTCATTTCTTTAAAAATGCTTATGAAAACCTAAAATGATCATATCACTTATAAATTGTTATAAAAAATTTGTAATGTTTTATAGTTTTGTATCAATTTTTATATTTTGACACTAAATTCGCTTTTACATAGGTCTTAGATGATATTATTTATATCTATATTAGAATACTGTTGAGTAATTTATTAATTTTAATCATTGTTTAAATTCAAATAACAGGCAATCATGTGATGACCAAACTCACTTATTCATTGAAGTGAATAAAACTCACATACTATAGTTTATGCAATAAGTTTTGCGAGGTTAAAGCAATAAGACTATATATGATTAATGATATTAGACTTTTGATTTTATTATAATTTATGCACCAAATTTCATATAATTTATTGTTTGAATATTCAGTTTTTTGCTACGATAACTTCAAGGTTGTTAATTTCATTTTGGTTAGCACTTTATTTTATTTACCAGAACAATAAATTTTGTTATGGAGCATTTCAAAGTTATGTTATGGAATTTTAGATAAATCATTCATATTCTAACTAAATATATTTATTGTTTCGATAATCTTCTTCTCATATATTTGACTCCAGTATAATTTTTGAAAAGCAATTGTGAAATAATCAAGTTCAAAATGGTATTTGGAAAGCAATTGTGAAATAATGTGTTAATTATAATCCAAGAATTTGTTTACTTACCTGTATGGTATTGATTTATCTAAAGATATAGAGCTCTACAAAAATACCAATTATAGTTGATATATATAGTTAATATAAAAATCTCAAATTTCTTCTCTTTTACTAAGTGAAAACTAGGTCTAGGAAGAAATAAAACTAGGTCTCAGTTAGAATTTAAATAAAAAATCTAAAACGACTCGAAATTTTAAGTAAAATGAAATTTGTGTCAATTTATTTTTTTTTTTTAAATAATATTAGATATACCGACCATTTGAGTCAAAACAAAATAGAATTAATAGCCTTGCTTAATATTCTTGGTTTTCTATTTTAAGTTGCCCTATCATATTTTGAAATGCTTCTTTATTCGTGCTTGCTTAGCTATACTAGCTATAAAGTTTAAACTCGATATTTCTAAAAAGAGAAGGGGGCATTTCCTACTCTCAAGTCCCAAGTATATACGGAAGAGAAGACTTGTGCAATATAATATTATTAACCTACACTTTTACTACCATTAAATGCATTAAAGAAAATAGAGCGTACCCTCTCTTGATACAAGAGAAGATAGGGCTTGTAAAATTCATTCAGGTAAAAGAGTCAATTGGGTTCATGTGGGGGTGACATAATAGGATAGACAAAGTTGTTGTTGGATGATTAGAAGGGAATATTTGGGAGAATGAAAAGGAATAAGAAACTTACAAAAGTTTTTTTTGGAGTTGAGGATTTTAGGGTTTCCGATTATCACCATATGAAAGCAAATAAACAAGCCTTTAAGGTTCTTAACTCTCAAGTCTCCACACTCGTTCAGGTCAATGGGTGCATCATACTTATCAATATAATCTTGACATCACACCAAAAATCCAAAACCCATTAAATTCATCTACAGGGAACACTATCTCTACCCAAGGATTTATGGTTCTTTTCACCATTGCCAAACTTAGCATAGACGTGTCACAAGCTTAGCCTAATATCTTTGCCCTATGTAAATTAACAGGTGGTGCCGGGCAGAGCTCCATGTGATTCTAATGGGACTATGGCACCCAAAACTTTGAGAATCCTTCATTTTAATCCTTATACTTGATGCTTTTGTCATTCTATATATGTACTTTGCTCTCCAAAATATAGTTTGTTTCCCTGAACCCTTTCTTACTTTATTTTATTCACATCAATCCTTCTATTTTCATAGTCGGCTCCTCTTTTACAATGTTGTGATTCTGCCCTCTTTGACAAGTCCTAACTTAATTATAAATTAACACATGATATCTCCAACTAAATGTCAAGCACATAGGAAGGAACATTGAACATTCTTCTCCAATGCATAGATGAGTAAACCCCGATTGGTTTTCTTCCCTTTTGTCTATGTGCTACAGCTCTTTTCAAAATCAACGTTGTTAAATTCCTTAGATCTATGTGAAGCTAGAATAGTTTGATGGGTATTTCTTCTCTTTCTTTTTATTTCTCCCCCTATGTACGAAAAAACACCTTTTTCTTTTCTTGAAAAAAACAAAAAATAACGTTTGGTTAAGCACGAATAGAGTAAGGAATTGATTTTGTTTTAATTATGCCTCAACTTTCAAGAGTTAGTGTATTCAATCTTGTAGACTAACTTGGCGTCAATGAGCAATTAGTCAGCTTAGCTAAGCCCTGGAATTCTCTTCTTGAAAAAACCTCGAGGAGTTGATCAACTTTTTCAAATGATTTTTTTTTATTAATCAATGTGTTGAAAAGGTCTGCATACTCTCTCTCTCTCTCTATATATATATATAGGCAGGCAGGGCAAGTTAAAGAATAACAAGTTAAAGAATAACAAGCCAAAGAGGGCTGCTAAATTATAATTATAATGGAAACTACTCCACTTAATATTTCCAATGTAGTAAACAGTACGTAGACCTTATTTTTGTTGATTTGTCACTAGTGCAATTCTACTTTTTCAATAAAGTGGCCACAAAAGGAGATAAAAATAAGAATTTATTTTTTCCAAAGAATAATGTACATCAAACCTAAGATTAAGAAAAGCTAGGTTATGATTGGGGGGGGGGGGGGTAATTGTTATTCTATTTAGATTTTTTTTCAAATTGTAATTTATATCGATTTCCGTATTAATGGCTTGTTAAAAGATCGATCGAAGGAGGGAGTAATATTTATGAAAAAGTGGCATGATTCTTTGTGTTTCTTTTACTCCACGAAGACTTGATAAAGTATTTATTTGGTCATTGGATAGAGATAATCATAGCTAATTTCACATTGTCCCTTTATTCCCTTTACAATAAGAAGAAGAAAAAATGCGAGACTCTACAATTATCTCCTCGCTTTTTGACAAAGATTATCATTGAACCAAGACAAGACACATATGATGTCTTGTTTATCTCATAGCTAGGTGGTCATTGCATTATTGTTTTCCTCATTTCCCCCTTTTTTTTCTAACGTAGTTAATGAAAGAGATGCCCTATAGGGTGGGGCAGGGGAGAATTGAAGAATATTTAGTGCTTACTACCCCTTCCTTCCTCACTATCTCTTTCGTATGGTATATTTTAACCCCGTTGTCTACGGGGAATTTTAATTTTTAATAGGAAAAGAATTGCCAAAACCTTTGCAGTTTTGCGTGTATTGACTATGGAGAAAATGAGAGCTGATCAGCTTCTGTACAGAGGTATAGAGTGAGAGAGAGAGAGAGCTTTGTTGAAGTGTCATTTTCCTATATCTATATACTCTTGAGGAAATAGGAAACCAAATCCCTCACCTTCTCTCTACCTTTTCCCACTTTTTTTTTCTAGCTACTCTTCTTTCATAACCACACATCTCTCTCTCTCTCTGAATGGAGTGTGTATGTTTCTTGGAGAAGAGAAAAGGACTTTCTTTGTTTCAGTTTTTGCATTAAGGCACTCTCTACATCAGACTTTCTTTCTTTCTCTTATTTGGTTTTGTGAAGTTATTAGAGGGTTTTGCCTTCTTTAATTTCATAGTCATCTACACTTCTAACCTCCTAAAGATTGCTTTTTTAGTAAGCTTAGAAAAGATCCCACTTCAAAAATCTACTCTATTTTTTGTGTTCTTAAATCTTGGCTTCTCTTTTTAATTATTAGAAGAAAAGGAACAACAGCCTGCAACCATTGATTTCTAAGGGAATATTAAAAATGTCCCAGAAAGGAATTTTTGATAAACAGTCTTTGAATCTGATTCCAGACCTTTCACTGCACATAAGCCTTCCAAACAGCGCTCCTTCTTCGATTTGCACTGGCACAAATGATAGTGATTCTGCTTTTGATTTTTGGCGCAAAGATGATGGCCTAAAATCACATAGTGATAGTTCCATAAGGGTTGGGTCTCAAGCAGACACTGAACTCTCTCTTGCAAATCCAACAAATACTGCTTTGGAGGCAGAGAGCCCTTGGAGAAGGAACTTCTGTGGCAGCGGAACCGGCAGTGTTGAAGGTCACCATGATCAAGCCAGGCAAAGAAATCTTCTTCTTCAATGTTCTGGCAATGGCCAAATGAGTCATCTAAATCATGGGATCTCAGTTCTTGATGTCACAGGATTGAAGCCTATAAAGGGGATTCCAGTGTACAATAGCTGGAATAGTTCAGGAGATATTGATCCTAGATTTAGCTTTAACCGAATGCCTTATTCACCTTCTTGCACCCCTTACTCTTCTTCTAACCCATCAGCTGATCACCATAAATCTCCTTTCCAAGCTTACAGAATGGATACTTCTGCACCAAGATTCAATGGAATGTCAATGGACACTCTGAGAGCCCCGCAGTACCATCAATACGGAGCTGCAGGTGTAGGGAGTGGTCCTGGTGCAGAGGTATATGGTAGTGGCATGATCAGATCAAGATTTATGCCAAAGTTACAAAACAAGAGGAATATGAGAGCTCCAAGAATGCGTTGGACTAGCTCACTCCATGCTCGTTTTGTTCATGCTGTTGAGCTCCTTGGTGGCCATGAAAGTATGAATCTTTTCTCCTTCTATAATAACCACTCACTCACTACATGATATATATAGTTCATTTCTTGTGTGGTGCAAGAGCAAAATTATAATATCATATAGTACTTGAGTTAAATTAAGAACTGGTTTTATGGACTTTGTTTTGCTCTAATCTTTGTCGTGATTGTTTCCTTGCTATTAGGGGCAACTCCAAAGTCAGTTCTAGAGCTCATGGATGTCAAAGATCTAACACTTTCTCATGTTAAAAGTCATTTACAGGTCTGGCATGAAAACTCTGTGCTAGTTTCATTCTTATTTGATCTTCTTCTTCCATCCTTCACAAGAAACCAAAAGACTACCTCAATAGCCCAGTGTTTATTAGTTTAGAGTCCTTTCTCTCTGTGTCCTCTCTGCGTGTGTGTATTGGGTAGTGAAGAAGACTTTGGCTCAGGCCATCCAACTGGCACGAGAGCCGATGAACGCAGTGAATGAATGAACAGTTGAGTCTGCTGTTTTCTGATACAAGACAACTTCTACTTTTTGAGAGAGAGAGAGAGAGAGGAAAAAAGTAGCCATCATTTCTCAATAATACAAGCAATTACTGACCTTACCAAACATCAACCTCGTGGTTAATAAACAAGGGAAGAGAAATTCAGAACAAGAAGCATCTGATTTGATTTTTTTGACTGGGGCTTTTCTTCTTGCTTTTTCTTTTGCCCTTTTAAAGTTATTCAAATATTATATATACTGGTGCTATAGGAGCATAGATAGGTCTACCTTGTGTTTTCTATTAATTTTCTTTTGTCTTCTTTTGCCTTCGCAGATGTATAGAACTGTTAAGAGCACTGACTGCAGACCTGCAGCTTCCTCTGGTAATTCGTCTTCCCTTTCTTTAATTTTTAGCCTAATTACTTCCCCGATTTCCGCTACCCCATTTGAAATGTTGAAGATTCCTCCCTTATCCTGTTACCCTAATAAAAACAGTGCACATTCCTATATGTATTAATGCACCTGTATAATGTACTTTATTAAATTACACATAAAAAAAAGCTTGGCATACACAAAAATCATCATCTTATGCACTTTGGCTGACTTGAGTCTTATTGGTTGTCTATTAGATGGCTCCGGTGATGAAGATTCCATGCCTGGAACAGCTTGCTTTAATCAAAATGCCAACTATTTACTCAAGCAGAAAGGAGGTTCAAATGTGCCTAATTTACAGCATGATAATGGTTTCTCTCACTCTCCCGCCACTCTATGGAGCAACTCTTCTAGGTAACAGTACCCCCTAGCTCTCTCCCCCTCCTCGCCTCTCACCTCAATCTCTCTCTCTCTCGGACACACACTCCCACGCATTGCATTTATTGATTTTTGTCGAGTTTGTATACTAAAAAGAGTGTTTTGCTTTTCTCTTTTATGGCTTCAGCTTTAAAGCTGGTTTTTACCCTTCCATGCATGGGTGACTTTAGCTTGTGCATTTAGGAAAACCAAATCCACGTCCTCCTAACTTTCCCTGAAACTACTAGGAGCTATGTACCTTCTTTCTCACAGCTTTTGCTTTTCATATATTTTGCTTTCTTTCTTTTGTATTTTTGCTTGCCTTTTCTGCTTTTCTTGGGATAGTCTTCTACATGGCCATTGATCATATTTACCTTACCATGGATCGGGAAAAAAAGTCCAGTGATGGAAAACAAAACTGTAGATAACTGTTAGAGAATAAGTTAAGTTCTTGGATTACTGTGAGATGTTTGTGTAATTACGAATCTTATTATCACTTAAAAAACAAATTGGGCTAAAATAATTTAATTTTATAAAAATTGTTCCTTAACATACTCATTCAGCTTTTTCATGTTTCCTTGCCACCCCTAGCTAACTTTGATCATACTAATACCATCTATAACAACTAAGAGCTCCAGAATCTGTATTCATGGATCCCATAGCAAATTATTAAAGAAGAGTTCATAAAACACTTTCTTCAGATATATTTCATATTCTTTTAATGGTTGGTGCTCATATAGTTTGATTTGAAATAAGATTTGAACTAATGAGAAATATTAATTAACTATAAATCTTTTTACATAATTAAGTATGAACAACGAGCAAAATTAAATCAGCACCATATTTATCATATTAATGAAAAAAGGTTCTTATTATTTAATGTAAAATTATTTGATAATTAATCAAGAGATGTTCAAAAAAAAATAGCATTGAAAATTTTATGCCTTGAGAGCTGATAGGACTGTTTTGCTATTCCATTTTGTATTTAAATCTTTCTTGCATTTCACAGGTTTATAGCTAATGAATTAATCGTAATTATTCACATAATTCTTGGGTTTTTAATAGGAAATTCTTTATTTTTCCCTAACTTAGCTCTAGAATAGTAGAAAGTAAACAATTTTCTCTCGTATTAACCCAGACTACTGAGAGGATTTCTCTCATAAATGTGATTGAAAATTTTATTTAAAGCTTAGAAGAAATAGTCAAATTAAATAAATATTACAAAAAGCTAACAAGGGGATGGCTTAGCAAATAAAGGACCAAATCACAAAAAAAAAATGAAAAGGATCACTAAAAAGGTTTTGGGCATCTAGATTTAGCAAATAGGATCACGAAAAAAAAATTTATGAACAATTTTTAAAGGGATATGTGGCTAAGAAGTGCATCTGGGTGTAATAGAAGGATTCGGGTGTATCAGCATCATCCGGAGTTCAATCTTCATGGATTCGGGCGTATATATCAGCTTCATGTAGAGTTTTATCAGTGAGCTTCTTATCCAAATATATTGTCTTGTTGGATCTTGCGACAATCAAGTCAATCTAATATGTTTACTTAGATTTCATCTCGTTGTAATCCAAGGCTAAACGAATAATTAAATATGTAATCAAGGAAAATCCGTGTGCTTCTAATCTTAAAATGTACAGAAACTTAGTGAATAAGTGAACAATCAAACCCAGAAAATGATCATGCATTAAAAGCCTTCTAGACGTGATGGCCTATACAAGATTCCGATAAGTCATTTAAAAGTTAAGATGGCCATTTTATTCCAGGATCATGCGTCGCCTTCCTAGGGTTTCTGCTTGGTTTTGTACATGAAAAGATTAATTAGCCTTGAAAACCATGGCCCTTATATAAGATCCCAGCATTGTACATGAAATAATGGTAGGGCTAGCTACTATCATTTTACTTGTAAGCTTTATTTTTCATTAACCAATTTGGTGGTCTGGGTGGTGCTTCATCAAATATATACACTCTAGCAGATATTGTGATATACCACGCTACCGAATCAATGATTGAGACATCAGTTAGTATTATGGTAAATTTTATTAGATTTATAACTCTATCATGCAAAATGGTATTGGAGAAAAACAATTAGAGCTAAAATATCAAGATGTTAAGCATAGGCCCAAAAGTATTAACAGCTTCTTCTTCGCAATGAATGGTATCAGAATTTGAGTGGATGAACTTTAAGATTACAGAATAATGGGTTTGTAGGAGAAAAGAAACATTAGAGCGGAGATGGCCATAGCAAGACCGCAAAACAACATGTGCATGAATTAATTAGTTAAGGTAGCTTGTATTGAGTTAGGATAATGAGTTTTTCACTCAGCTGCGGCCATCTCTTCCCAGAGCTATTGAGGCCTGACTTTTTGTTAACTTCTTTTATTCATAAAAAGGTCAATCATTTTCAAGCTAATTTGATTTGGATAGCTTCCACGTCTGATTATTGATGTTCTTGCACTATATGCTGCTGGAGGAGCATGCATCTTTTATATAGGAACATTAGAGAGAAGCATTTGAAGGAAAATGAGACAAAAAATGGTGGTGAGGTATGTCACATAAAGGTTTTGAATTTTTCAAAACTCTTGACAGAATTAATCTTTTGTGTGGCTTGTGGAATCGCTTCTTAAGATATCTTATAGAGGATCGAAATCATCAATCCAGGTCGTGTGATTCTTAATTATATTTAAATTTAAGTCACTTCAAGTCTTGTTAAGATATCTTGTGGAATCACACTTCTTTTTTCCTTTTCTCCTTTAGGTGCTTGCTAGGTTTCGAGCTACACAGTAAGGATGGCCTGCCTCTATTTCTTTAAATCACTCTCTCTTGATGTGACAAAATTTAAATCCATGTTACCTAGTGGCTAGTATCATTGCGAGTGACTTTGCAAACTAGCTAATAATACCAATCCTACCTAGGTTATATCGTGGCGACTGACTTTGCTAGCTAGCTAGGTAACAACAACCCTACCTAGAGCGCAAATGGGAGCATTGGACTCAAGGCAGTAAGGTTTCAGCGACAATCCCATCTTAATTTAGCTAACAGCTAGGTCAGAGGAATTAATCCTGTGGCACTAAATGCATTCCTTTTGGTTTTCTTTTGATTAGGTCTTGTTCATAAACTAAACGCATGATAGATGTATTAATTTGATATGTCTGCTTCTCCTAATTAGGTTGGTTTGATCGCGCAAGGGGACCTGTTACCAAGAAAATTAAAGGAGCATTTTTCTTCATCTGACTCCATGGATGTTTCAATTAATGATTGCCATTACTATTGGCTTAGGAATATATGTTACAGTTCAACATTTTCTTTTCGTTCAGAAATTCAGAAGCAGATCAATGGTTTGATTCTAACTGATAGTATATATTAATTGTTGCAGCAAAGGAGGAGGATGGCATAACAGCTCAAGAGATCTAGATGGGCTGAAGGGAGAAGCTCTATCTTCTCAACAAGTAACGGGAAATAAACTGGACGTGAGTATCTAAACTTAGTGAGACAAATATAGTTATCAATAAGAATCTCCATAACTCTATTGACTGCCATATATGTGTCAGTATTGTCCTTAAACTAATTAATATTTGCATCTAAATTAATTTCTGGATCGTCTATGCATGCATCCAATAATGCCAATACTGCAATTCTATTGTACAGATGCTTGTTTTATGGAAAATAAGCTGCGTTTTATGCCATGCGCTCTTGGATAACTTCTTAGAGAGCTTCATTATTAATTCTACATTGCATCCATGCTGTGGAGCCAAATATATGAAATCACATAATTAAACAAAATCTTAAAACAAGTGATCGAAAAAAGTTTTCAGTTGAATTCCCAATATAGAGTATCAGTAATAACTCTAAGGTTCTGAAAGCCAGCTTCAACATTGCTAGCTTCTGTATTTTTTTTCTTATTGTAATGGTTTTCTCCCCCCTCAAGTATGGAAGGGTCTAAAACATATTGCATGTGGGTTCAACAAACGCTTGCCCCAATTCTTATACTTGCAGGGAGTTGGTTTTGCTCAATCAAGAAGCTTTACAGGATTCAATCAAGAACTCAAGAATCCAATCCTGGAGATTTCCTTAGGGAGACCAGAGTACTGGCAAAACGAAGAGCATGAATGATTTAAGATAAGAGTTATGCCGGCTAACAATGGCATGGGATTTAGAATTCCCTTTTTCTTAAACAAAAAGAAAAAGATCATAGAAGATATAAATAGATATAGGGCTTTGCAAGGGGAGAAGAAGAAAGTCTTGTTCTGTCAAGTTCAGTGCATGTCTGTCTGTATATTCTTTTTTAGACCATTGTTGGACTATGTTATGAGTTGATGTTAGTCATTACGTGGTGCACTCAACGAAGCAAAAAGCAGTAGAGAAGAAGGAATCAGTTTTAATGGTGCATGATATATATATATATATATATATATATATATATATATAATCTCGTTTTACTCTCTCTCTCTCTCTCTCTCTCTCTCCACTCCTTTTCTTGCAAGATCCTCTCTCTGTTGTCTCTTAGGGTGTGAAAGCTTGACTTTAATTATCATCTTTTTGTGTCATTATATCAGCTTTGATTGAGTTTTGATGTGCATTTCCAGAAAAAGTTGATAAAGCAACAAGGCACTAATTGCTGTAAAGAAATGAAAAGAATATTGGGATTTTCTTGCTTTGTAGTGCAAATCAGATCTCTTTCAGTCAGGCATATCAAAACTGTACTGTTGCTGCATAAAATTTCCCAGGAACACATCATCACCTTTTGCATGTATGATTCCATATTATTTTCAACACTAAAATGGGGTGTTGGGATTGTGGGTTGCATGCATGTCCCACAAGTTAATCTACTTTAGTCAATTCTGAAAGGCAGGCCGTAGGTAACTGCATCAAATCTAGCCATTAGATATCATGAAATGTCATTATCAACTAATTATCTTGTTGACAAATTATTAATGCAGGCCGTAGCCTATCCATGCAGCTGGAGGCTTAAGGGCTCGGTAAAGTTCACCGATTTGAATATCGTCGGCCGATCGCAAATTTTTTGCATTGGGCCGGAGCACAATAACCATGGCTAGCAAATGGCACGAAGGAATCCAATAAAAGAAAAAAGAAACTCCAGAAAACAGGAAAATAGAATAAATTGTGAAACAACATGACATTCGCAGTAGGAACAAGTCATAAACTTATTAAAGACCATAATAATTAAACATCTGCTTTCTGATACTACAAGGACTTGGCTATAAAAAACTCTTAACTTTCTTCTCTTTCATCTTGTACCAGTTAGTTGTCTGTGTATTGTAGTGAAAAGCTAGTACGCAGTGTTATTAAACATGATTTTGTCAGGCCAGTTAATATGATAACCCATTAATCTAGGCTTTGACTCATATTGAGTTCCAACGTAAACCAATTAAGAGTTAATTCGGTGTAATGTAATTAATTTAACGAGTTTATTTTTGACTTGATGAATCTGATAAAAAAACAGCTTTAATTTTTTAAAAAAAATTAAAAAATAATCTCTATTTAGTATTTTTTATAAGAAAAACATTGAAGTGACGGATGGACTAGGATCCAACTATGTTAATTCTCTCAATTTATGATCTAAAATATGCTTGAGTTTAATAATTTTATTTTTTTTAAAATTATATTTTTATACAATTGTATGATAATAAAAATATATATGCGCATTAAATAAATAAATAAAATTATTAACAAGAAATGTATTTTTCATAAAAAATTGTTTGCCTAGTGTAATTTTTTTATAACAAAATTTTTTTTTTATTGGCAACATAGTTCATTGGATAAAGAGAGACAACAATGAAGAAAAACAATTATGGAAAACTATAACAATTTGAACTAAAAAGGAAAATATGAATATTTTTAATTAAAAAAATATAATTTTTCTATTCATACATTTCTTTTTTATTTTCAAGAAAAAATGTTTTTTTTTTATGAGAAGCAAGCATTAGTTAAAAAATTAAAAACCATGAATTGATTGTCTCTCAGAAACAATATGAAAAAGTATGAGAATAATAAATTTGAGAAAACTTTATAAAATAAATTATAATAAGTTAAAGAAATATATATGTTATTCTTATTTAATATAAATGAGAAAATTATTTAAAAATCCTATATATTAGGGTAATACATAATTAACCATAAATTAATCTATAATATCATCATAAAAAAAAACTCTAATTGTCTTAAAAATAATTGCATTATGTTTTATTGGTAGCATGTATTTTGCATAAAAGACAACAAAAATTAAAATAAAAGTTTATTAAAAACTTCAATCATTTGAAATAAGTAGGAAAATATATCTCTTTAATCTAAATTTTATTTTCTTATTAATGCATTTCTTTATTGTTTTAACAAAAACATATTTTTTAATTGTATGTATTTTTTAAAAATAAGTATTCATCATGATTTCAAAAACAAGTTTTAATAAAAAGTATCATAATAACATGTCAATAATTTATATGTGATTGAAGACAAAAAAAAAATTCATGTGATATTAAATTTTTTTTTTATTAAATATCCACAAGAAAGTGTTTTTTCCATATCAGGTATATAACAATTGAAATTAACATTCTGGTAAAAAAGTTTAATATTATTTAAGAACTATGATAAAATTAACTTACCAATAATTTAAATATAATGTAAATATTTTATTTACAACACATTTCAATTAAAATATAAAATAAATATTTTGGAAGAAATAAAAAATATAGAAAGAGGCCAAACACTCAGGTTAAAACAATGAGGACTTGTACGTCTGAACCAAAAGAAAGAAAGTTTGGCATGCAGGGGTCTGTCGCATGGATAGGCCATGGACTTGGTTTCTTTTCTTTCTTTGTTTTTTAAAGGGTGAATCACACATTTCATGTGTTTTCATTAAAAACACATAATAAATATCTTCAATAATTAATTTATAACCTTAAAACATCTCTAAATTGATTAAAAAACATAAAATTAAACCAAATAAAAAATATAACTATAGCTAATATATATATTTTAGCAAGATGGAATCTAAAACAACACCTAAAATAAACTTCTCTCATCAAGATAAGCTTTTTAAATAACTAGAATATAATCAATCAACTATTTTCTCTTTCTTTTTAAATTTAAATAATTAAAATATAAAATTTAAGATTAAAAAATAAAATCCTAAAATTCTAAAAACTAAAATTAAAAAGAAAAATAAATTAAGGGACCATGTGAGCAATTCACGCCTCATAAATAATTAATTTAAGAAAAAATAGGTTTGATTTTTTATACCCATTTAAAATTTGTTATGTGTTAATCTTGAGAAGTGTAGTTTAATTAGTCAGATTTAGAAGTTATCAATTCGAGTCCAATAAATTTTATGACCATTAAAAATTTATATGGTCATTAAATCTAGAACTCATGAAATTAATGTCCGAACATCTATGTTAATAAAAAAATTTGATACCCATTAATTTTTTTAACTAATTGTATCAAACACTGTTTTATAAAATTGAGCATTGGTTTAACATTTTTTTACATTGCATAAACAAAATAGCAAGTGATTCCAAAATTATCAATTTTAAACTCGAGTTCACATGATATGATATGTAATAATGAAAAAAAAAAAAACGAGTACTTAAACAAATAATGGAGCCGAGGCCAAAATAAAATTGAAAAGAGAGAGATGAACCGACGCCGTGAACAGTGAAAAGGGCTCCCATTCTACCGTAAAAGAAACAGTGAAAATCTCTGCACTTTAATTTTATTATAATTTATTTCTCTGTCCACAAAAGTCGTTGAAGAATCAAGACAAAGTGGGAGAGTACAAACAAAGGAAAGTTTCATAGTAATAATGGCAATGGGTCGATAAAGCAGCACTGAATTTCTGCGAGCTGTGGGCTACCCTTTCTTTACTTACGAGTTCCTTTCCCCCAATCATTCATTCTTCATCTATCTTGTCTGCACCACAATCCATTAAATGTTTTATTCCTTCTTTTTCCCTTTTCAATTTCGAATTAAGTTTGTAGAACGTTTTTCCAGAAATAAATTCATATTTATATATATATATATATATATATATATATGATTAAAGGGGTGTTCTTCATTTCCCATGGAATTGATTTATCTCCCCATGTCGACATGGATGAACTTTTTATTTTTATAGAAAATATCAAAAAAAAATATAAGATTAAAAGTATTGAATTTGACTGCAATACCAGATGCAAGAACTTAAAATATATTTAACTTATTTGTTCAAATTCTTATCTTTTTTTAATTTTTTTAAATTGGTTTTTCTTCAATAATAATAATTGTATTTTTTAAAAAAAATATTGATGATGATGATGATGATGATATTATTAAATTTTACCTTTCAAATTTAATATATGGTTGTTTTTCAATATTGATAATAATCTGTTTTCAAATTTATTAATTATTTTATTAATAATATTAATTATAACAACAATAATAATATTTTTAATACAAATAATAGTATTTTTTATATTAATATTTTTAATTATAATAAAATTTATAATATTTATAATACAAATAATAATCTTAGGTCTTAACATGGAACTCAAGAGAATTGGATTCATAAGCAAAACCAAATTGAAATGGATCCTGACACAAGACCCCACCAAAATACATTTTAACACATAATCCAGAAACCTTGGGTCATAACACATATCCATCCTTAGATCCTCGTAGTAGACTTAAGGAAATAGGGTTTGCAGAATCCAAGAGAATTGGATTTGGGCTTAGAACCTATTAGTTTTGGGTCCCTAGATGATCCAAAAAAATTAGGTCCAAACCTATTGTTTTTAGCTCTCTAAATTTATTGGGTATTGTTGCGAACCGAATCTAAAGTTATTTTGGATCTTGCCACCAACAGAATCCAACATATGATTTATTTATGTATTTAATAATATAAATAATTCAAAATTATTAGATAAAAAATCTAAATGCAATAAAACATTAATTAAACTTTGAATCTCATATACCAATATTATGAAATTATAATATCTTCTATTACCTAAAATAATATTATATTATAATATTTATAAATTAATTTTTAATATATTTTATTGTTCAAAAATTATCTTATATAATACAAATATATAAAGTATATGATATGAATAAAAAATTTATTGAGAGCTCCATCAACTTTAATATGATAATACAGAGAGAAAATTAAAAAAACTAAATTTTTTTAAAGAATTTTTAAAAAGTAAAAAAATAAACATGTTTTAATAAGAAAAATCAACACAATCTTAAATGAAAAAAAAAATGATTGCCTAACTTTTAAATAATATAAAAAACTCTCATTAATTTATTTATTTATTACTGTATGAAAATAAATTACATGAGAGAAATTATGGGTCCTGCTAAGGGCAAGACCCAACACTAATGGATTTAATAATATTTATAATATTAATAATAATATTTAACTTCTTTGTCCATGTTTTTATATTTTTTAATTTAAAAAAAATATATGTTTTTCTTTGATGGTAGTAATAGTTTTTTTTTAATTTGGTAATAACAATAACAATAGTAATAATAATTCTTAATTTTACCTTTCAAATCAAATCAATTATTATTTTTCAATATTAATAATATTTTCTATAAATTCAGTAATTATTATATGAAAAATATTAATTATAATATTTATAATAAAAATAATATTATTTTTAATACTAATACTTTTAATTATAATAAAAATAATAATATTTAGAATACAAAATCTAATATTTATTATATTAATAATAGTATTGAACTTGTAAATTATTTATAGTAATAATTTTTAAAGAAAATTATTACCGATAATAATAATAATAATAATAATTTATTATTTATTTATTTATTTATTATTAATATTATTATTGATTTTTTTTATTTTTCTTCTTTGCAAGGTCTGCAGACCTAGCCGCCCGGATCTACAGACTTAAGATGCAATTCAAAATTGATCCCAGCATGTCTGCAATCAGCGCCCGGGTTTGCAACACCAAGCACGCAGGTCTATAAACCCGCTCAACTGGATCTGCACCCATTGCACGAGCCTGCAGACCCGTCCGATGAGTTTTTAGTGAGGCATGCCGGTTTAGCAAGCATTAAGGGCATGGCAACCTAGCACCTAGTGTCTGTAGCCTGGTGTTGTTGCCAGTATCACTGACTGACCTTAGCACTAGGTGTTCGTTTCCTGGGTTGCTTTCAGGCACTCAGGTATGGCCCTAGCATTTTGACTTGAAGTCGAGCGCTAGGTGTCTACTTGGGTCGTGCAGCCCACTAAAATCCAAATTGATCATTTTCTCCTCATCTAAAAAGATAACTCCACTCCCAGCGGTCTTTGCAACTATTTATAGTAAGAGCAACCTTATTATTACACATCCTCAACTCATAATGTTTTTAGCAAAAAAACAAACTCAAATAGTGTAATTTAGAGTAAAATCACTCATAATTTACAATAACTTTCACTATAGTATTAAACAGTACAATCTACAATAAAAATACTCACAATTCATAATAATTCTCACTTCAATAAAACACTAATGCTTTTTAGTCATACTTAATATTAAAATAAAGAAATTAAAATAGCCCGCGCGATATTTATCCTTTTACGGTGGAAGATAGTGCTCCTGTCCACGAAAGTAGAGCTCATAAAGGCTAGCAGAGAGGGGGAGAGGGAAATGGCAAGTGGAGAAGTAGTGGAGAGAGAGTTGAGTGTGGGCACTGTGGTGCGTGGGAAGAGTGCGCCATGGAATACACAGTTTGGTTTCAGGAGAGGCTTGGTGGGTGTGGTCTTTGTGAGGAAGCAATCAAGAATGAGCAAGCAAAGGCTTGGAGTACGAGTGTAAGTTGCTTCGAGGGTTCAAGCCACCTTTAGAGAGACTGAAAATGCTGGCCCTCCCATTCACATGGCTCAATACATTGTCCAACTCATCGAGAAGATCATGTCGTCCACTTCTTCTACATCCCACTAAGGTGCCTTTGCCGTGATTCTAGCTTTGATGGTGCTTGTGAGAATGCTGAAGGGAGAGTTAACTGATATAAGCTTGTTATTCTCGCCTGTAAATTAGCTAAGCTGCATGCACCTTTGTGATTTGGATATGATAGCAGCTCAGTTATTTAACGGGTTCCTGCTTATATTCGTAAGATTTAAGGTCTTACGTGGCATTGCTAGATTTTCCAGAAGCCAAGATCTAAAACAATCTAGAGCCTACAAGATGGTGAAACAATTCAGGAACAAATTCAAGAAAATTAGGATTTTTTAACAGAAAATTCGGATTGAAAAGTGCTAAATCCTTAGTATTGATGAGCTGTTCTTCGCATGATTGTTGGGTGAATGAAAAGATTTCAATTGACATTTCCAAATTAATGTATTTTACATATAATTGAGACAACATTGCAATGGAAAGCATGGTTTGGAATTTGTTCTGAACAGTGTTTCATAAAAATTTATTTATTTATTTTTGTTTGAAATTAAACTATTTTTTATGTTTTCAGATTATATATTAAAAATAATTTTTTTAAAAATATATTATTTTAATATATTTTCAAATAAAAAATCCTTTAAAAAACAACCACTACTACACCCTAAAAAACCGTCTTAGAAAAAATATTTTAAAAAACAACCACTACCACTCTCTAAAAAACCATCTTAAATATAATAAATCCATATATACATGCATACATATCAAAGAATACATCAACAGTGAACAAAGAAACTACAATCACAAGACACTACCATCTTCTTCACAGCACCGTGTTTGAACTTCGTATTTACTCAAATTCTAAGAACAGCAATCTCTTGTACACACACCAATCATGTACATAAAATTGCATTTACATGCTGTCATTTGTACAAGCACCAAGCATCTTCAGCTACTGGTTGGGCCCCAAAAGAGCGAGAAGGAAAGCTCTGTAATGACCTGAAGTTTCTGAGTGAACGGCATCGTTCAATGTCTTTCTGTACTTCTTCAGATATTCAGCTTTTATATATTGCATGTCAATCTCAGTCCTTGTCACAATTACCCTTATAAGGGCAGCGTCATTGGTTCCCAGGCCTTTCATCGCCTTGCGCAGCAACTGCAAAGTTTTATGAAATGATAGGATTTATCATTGACTTCAACATAAATAACAATATCAGGTAAATAAATGAACTGAACAATATCACATGAGATGGGGTTCAATCCTGATTTCACCCAGATGCAGGGAGGGTCACCCCCGTAGCATCCTCCAACTACTGAAATATATTAGGGGAAAAGAAAGAAAGGAAAAAGGAAAATTCAAGTGCATGTCCTTTCTAAGGTTTTGAGTGCTCAAAAGCCTGGTGTAAAAATGATAATTAGTTAAGATGACAACAGCTGTGGGATACCAAAAATAGTTATGTGATGCATTATGTGAGATGATCAGGCCATAGATGGCCAACTCATGAGCTTGTTTATAAGTCCACTGTTAATCGATATCAGAAGATTCTGACTTGTTGGACAAAATCAATTTCGATCTGTTTCAACTTCAATATTCACAATTTTCTTCCTTTCTACATGATCTCTATGTTGCGATGGGTTTTTTCAAACACTTACGGCTGGACTGCTGAAATGTTATTCACTGAAAACACCAAAAGAGTGGGTACCACATGCATGAAACAAGCTACATTCCTGTCATCTACACATCGTTATAGTTTACCACATCAAATAAACAATTTAATGAAACCATAATATTTAATGTGCCTTCAGAACATGGATTGCCTGCATCCCATACTTCACCTCATGGGAAAAAAAAAAAAAAAAGTTTCCACGGGAACCAGGGGAGGAAGAAGAACATGGACTGCCTGCATCCCATACATCACCTCATGGGGAAAAAAAAAAGTTTCCACGGTGACCAGATGAAGCAGAGAAAACCAAATCAAAGAGCTTAAAAATGAAGAAGGATACCTTGACAAAGTACTTTGCCGGATTCTCTGAGCATTGTAAAATTGTCTTCAAAGCATGCTCAAAATGTCCTGAAGTTTCCTTCTTTATAGCCTGAAATTGTTCCAAATGAATTTGCCTCACAGAATAACCACATATGAAAGAGAGGTAAGAGAACATTAAGAAAGTTTTACCTTTTTCAGAGAGTTTCCATACATGCTGTGATAGGCTGAATCAACAGCAGCCAAATGTGCAGCACTTCGTTCACTGAATACGCGGATGAAAGTCTTCTCGTCAGTTCCCAATCTCTTCTCACCTGCTTTATAAAGAGCCTTTGCATCCTTCTCAGCCATATTTCTGTCAACTTCGCGGCCTTCATAACGAGGCGTGCTTACATATGCTAGCAGGAGCTAAATCAAGTATATTATGATAACACATCAGGAATTTCAGTTTCCTTTAATGAATATTGAATAAAAACGCTGGCATGTATTATGGGTGGAAAAAAAAGAAAAGGTGGTGGTTGGGGAAGGTGACACTAGAAATCCCAATTAACAGCATAAAAACAGTGTGGACAGAATTCTATAACAAGGGCGAATGCTGTTTTAACAAAAAATCCCAAATTATTCAGTGAAACTCCAATATTACAAGTAGAAAGAAATCTAACGGTTGTTAAGTCCAACTGAACTTTTCCATGATTAAAGCAGCAGCCACACTATTCCCAAATCATAGAAAGGCAAGCAGCAATAAATTGTTCAGTAATAAACATCTGTTTTTGAGATTCAAGGTTCATTTTACTTTTAATGGGCATAAAACTATTCAGGATCATCTCACAAAATTTTACATCGTGACAATAGGCAAATGCTACATAAGGTTTTGTAGCCGATTAAAATATCGGGGATCGGAATGAAGCTGGCCTTCAACAGATAGACTTGTAAATCTATCTAAACTGCGTAGAAAAACTAGAACCCCAAATTGCTTCAGAAAAAATTAACTACTCCCAGATGGACTTTATTTTCGATCAATGCTATTGCCTGAACAAGGAAACAAAGGCCAACTTATCATGTCCGAAATCTTTGTAGATGTGATGCTTGACAGTACAGGAGCTAAGAATACTACCTAATCAAAGCAACAAAGATTTACCAACCATCAAGCACATCTTTTTAGAAAGAATGGATTGCAAAAGTTTACCTTTTTATGGTCTCCAGATGCCCGTAATTCAATATCATGCTCAAGATGAACCCCAAATTTTGCATAGTAATGCTGTTTAAATACTTGTATCTGGGATGACGTGCGAGAACAAATTACTTCAGTTGCAGTTTCCAGATTTAATATATCTGCTATAAGTGCTTGCCTGACAATAATTGCATCACGACCAGGTAGATCATGCATCCACAACAGAACTGCTGTCTGAAATGCAAAAGGAACAGATACATGAGATGTCTGGTTTTCTGATATAAAAAAAAAAGAAGATACATGAGATGTCTGGTTTTCTGATAAAAAAAAGGTAGAAATACGAGACATGGTACCTCCAATTTGCCAGTAAGCTCCGAAGTCAAGCGTTTAAGAAGATCCTCAGCGTACAAAGCTCTGTACTCATGTTGGATGAGAGCACGCTGAGCTGCATCTCGATGAGCCAGGATATTGATCACGGCAGATGTGTCAGTTCCAAATCCTGGAAGGATAAACAAAACAAAAACAAAACAGATTGAAGTAATATCATTTATTTACATTTCTTCAAATTTTCTTAATGATCAATAAACATAACTAAGTAACGAAATACCCTTAAAAGCACGGTAGAGATGCATTGCATCATCTCTAGGGGATGAAAGCAGTGGCGGAACAATTAAAGTTGACATTTTTTTAAACGGAAAAGGGGACGGACAAGTTGGGTTGCAGTTTAATCAATTTCAAGGTCGCCGGAGTTGCTACTATGGACGACCTGTTGTCCATTTATCTTGCGCGGATTACGGGTTGTCCTATGATTTTTATTTTTAATTTTTAATTTTAGAAATGCCCGGGTCATACTTTCCTGGCTAGCGTGTGCACACGGGTTGAGGCCGCACATCTGGGCGGCTTCCCGGCTCAAAGAGTTTTTTTAAAAAACTTGTACGTTGGAAAAAAAAAATTTACCGAACGGAAAAAAAAAAAACCTTGAGATATGCATGCTAAAAAAATTAAAAAAAATTTTGTTAATTATTTTTTTATTCGTTCTTGTGGTTTTTATAATTAGTTCCATAATTTTATCCATTGTTTTTGTGCAAGGATATTTAACTAAATTTAATATTTATTTTTTAATGCGACTGCTAAAGAAAAATTGTTAACTTTTGTCCAAAAAATTATTATTTTTTACCCCACTTAAATAAAAATAAGTTTAATTGATTGAATGATGATATTAATAAAACTAAAATTAAATCATATAAACATTAAGGGGCCCAGTAAAAAATTAGGTAGAGAAAAATAAAACGAAGAAATAGTCTTAAACATTAATTGGAATAGTTTAGAGAAAATAAAAAAGAAAGGAAGGGAGAAATACACGATGGAGTTGATAATTTTTGGATTAATTTTTTTTTTAATTTAAAAAATTAAGTTTTATAATTTTTTTATTTTTTATAAAATTATCTCATCTATATCATTCAAATTGTAAGATGAATAGATTAACTCAAGTTAATTTAAATTTTTTAATTAAATTTTATTTTTAATATTTATTTAATTAAAAATTAGATTTCATGTTTGGATTTAATCTGCTTTACGAGGTTAATTCGAGTAAACTCAATCAATTCAATATATTTTCATCTTAATATTTTTTAAAATAATATCTTAATTTTTTAAAAATATACTATATATTTAATTATTATTAAAATTATTTTTCAACTCATCGTACTAATTAAATTACATCAAATTAATTCTTGGATGTTTAATATTTTTTATAGTATAACACACGTAAGTATCACGTAAATCTAAGACACAGCATATCGCTATCCATAAAACAAAAGGGAGCTTAATTCCATTGCAAGTATTTCATTTATTAAAGAGAGAGACTTTCTCACACGAAAGCACTATAACACCGATGGGCATTATCTAATTAATTGATGGCCACGTTTATCTATTTTATATATTTCTTAAGCAATTTGTTCTAAATAATGCTAGGTAGTATTTAATATGGATAAAACTATATATATATATATATCATTTTTAATTATGTTTTTATTCAAACACATATATATAGCCAAACCCTTTCTCAATTAGATTTTTTCTCCATAAATGTTTTGTTGTTTTTTTATTTTTGAAACTTTGATTTTGGCTGCACCCTTAGGACTGAGATTATCGCATGGTCAACTGAGATTATCACATGGTCAAAGGCAGTGCCAGGTACAGGAGACCTGGCAGGAACCCGGCCCTGCAAGAAAATAAAATATTTTTTCCAGTTCTTTTCTTGAAATTTTAATTCATTTAAAATATTTTTTAATTTATTTTTTTATTATTATTATTTTCTTACTCCACCCCTGCTCATACGTGTGCGGATTTTACGATATATAATATTCTATGTCAACAACTCGATTTGTATATCCATAAGATAAAAAACGCACGTAGCCGCCGAGACCTGGAGACGACGACGCGTGCGTGATTGATTCAGACATACGCCGCGTGTCACAAGCTGACCTCTAAAACAGGACAAATGTCTGAACAACTAAAGCTTCTTCTGTCCAATGAGAACATGTTTCAAGTTTCTAGCGTTTAGATAGCGGTGGATGCTGCGAAGCTAAATTCTCAGCGCACCTGTTGTCGGCACTCCAGATGGATATTAAAATCATACTTTAATATCAAAGTCCTGAGATTTTAGAAAATCAAATAATTCAAATCCCGTATTTTCTTGTTTCATAAGATGGTACTAAAATCAGGAGTTAATGGGATTGTTTTATGATTTGAAATATGTTGATTGGTATTGTCATGCCATTTCTTTTTTCTTTTTTGTGGCATGACGGTTGCTGTAGTGGTATGTTTGATAATGTAATTCAATTTATTTTTTAATTGTTTTAAAAAATATCAATTTAATATTGTTTTAAAGTGTTTTTTAATTGTTTTGATAAAAATTCTATTAAAAATCATTATTTTAATATATTTTTAATTATAAAATATTTTTAAAAAGCATCCTGTATAGCATTACATAATACTTTTTAAAAACATTTTAATGCTTTTATGGTCTAATTCTATAAGATAAAGTTTTAAATTAAAATAGAAAGACAAAACTAAAAGTGAGAGGACCATAATATAAAATATAAAAAAAAAATATGGTCAATCTCATTTTCATCCTTCTTTAATTTTGTTCATAGATAGTTTTTGTCTTTTTGATTTAATTCTTTTGCATTCTATTTACATGGAATAGAATTTAAAACTGTAGTAGAAAGATAGAATTAAAAGTGAGAGAACCATAATAAAAAAACAAGGAAAATATGTGGTCTATTTCAAAATTTTTAAATTTTTTCTTTGGGTTCAAAAATTTATTTTGTTTATTTCTTAGTTTTTATGTTTAAGATAAAAAAAAAAAGTCGATAAAAAACTATGAATGAAAGAAAAGGTTAATGATTTGTCATATTTCAATAATAAAAATTATCAATCTTATTGTTAAAAAGTTTTATTTGATAAAATAAATTTAATGACCATGATTTATTTTATAAATATACTTGAAAAAATAAATCTAGATTCATTTAAGTGATTTATTATTAGGTGGTGTATAAAAAAAAATTATAATGTTTTTAAATAAAAACAAGTAAAAAATAATATTTTTTTTATCCAAACTTCTTTTTAATTTTCTGGTAGGATTTTAATCCGCACCCAGTAAAAAGTGAATGACGAATAAGAAAAATACAAAGCACCAGCCTATGCTTCATTAGCTCATGTGTGTCTAAGTTTTTTATCTTAGAATTGGGCTTCCAGAGCTAGCCCATCAATGTTTCATTTGTTTTTTTATTTTTTATTTTAACAAAATCTTAATTAATACTCCCCTTATTTTATTTAGTTTTTACATTGTATGGATTTTTTATTTAAAATTCAATTAGTACTTCATCTCTCTCTGATCTTTTAAATTTTTTTACTTGCCTTTTTTAAATAATACTTATTATTTAAGAGTTTTTTTCTATTAATTTCATTTTTTTTGTTTTTTAATTTTATCTTTAGATATTTTTTATATGTTAAATAAATTGTCTTTAGACTAACTAAGTTGATCGTATCTGGATAACGTTAGAGTAAGTTTTATACGGTTTAATTTTTAAACTTCAATTAGATAAAAAATTAAATAGGAAGATTTCAAAGTTGACCTATTGAGTTGAGTTTAACAACAATGTCAAATAATTTTTTTATAACTTGTTTATTATTTATTATATTAAAAAAAATTAATTTGACTCAACAATGGAATGCAAGTCTATAAACTATTTTTGATATGAAAAATATTTTAAAAAACAAAGAAAACTTATCTGAAAAATGTCTATTAATTATCAATTCTTTTCTGTTTTCTTGTCCTTACCTTATCCATATTTGATATCACCCTTCTTCTTCTTTTTCCTATGCATATTAGTTCGATTCTCCTAAAACAAAAATGATCTTTTTTAAGTAAATAAGAAATGATTTTAGTTACTACTTGAACATATACTTTTCATGTATTTTTATATTTATATTCGTACTGTGTATCAAATACTATATACAATGTGTTAAATCTAATGTTTTATTTCTGATATTTTCTTAGATAGAATTTTATTTCTGATCCTAAAACCTTAACGATCCTACTTAAAATCCCAATTATTAATAACCTTTAAAAGTTTTCTTTTGAAGAGTTCATTAAAATTAGCAGGATCCCAAGATCCATGAAGACTCAGTGCTGTCAATTTGACGATGAACAATTTTGGGCCAGCCCATTTCAACCCCAATATCACTTGGAGAAAGACCCAAGTCATAGTTAAATCCCAATTTCACTAGTCCAATACACTCTGCAAGTAATGGAACTACCTTGTTTCAATTACGGTGTTTTTTAAAACAGTTTTTTTTTATAATTTAATTACATGATAATATAAAAAAATATTAAATATTTTTTTAAAATATAATTACAACGAGTTGTAAGGTAAGTATTTGTTCGTATCTCAACATGTTACCGACAAAGTTCATGCAGAAGGAATTTTATTTGGAGGGATAGACATGGCCAGGAGATGAAGAAATGCATTTAATTAAATGGGAAAAGGTATGTGAGCCAAAGCTTAGCGGTGGGGATCCATCCCGTGAACAAAGTTTCCGTCGGGAAACTCCAACGGGGTCCGACTCTGATTCATGATAAACGACAGTCTTTTGGCCGCGGTTCTGCGTGGAAATAAATACGTGAAGAATAAGGAGACGATTCTGGCTATAATAATATATAAAAGTCAAGAATCTAAAATCTATTTACGAGCATGAACGTGAAATAATATTTTTTTAAATAATATATATATATATATATATTTTTAGAGGTAATTTAACAATTAATTTGGGTCAGTATCATCATAAATTGAAGGGGGCTGATTTTCCTTTGTGGAAAGCAATTTGCAAGGTTTGGCCTAAGGTAGCAGTGGAGTCAGGTTTTGAAGGTGAAAGACCTCTAAAAGATCAGTCACTTCAGGAGATTCCATTGCTTAATCAGGAATGGATGTTTCGTGATGCTGTGAATGCTCAAGATCAATGGAAGTGGCTGTTATTTTCTCATTTCTTTCCTGCGCAAATTCTCATGAATGTTTTGGAGACAACCCTCCTGATGGCCTTTTTACTTTTCATCGGCTTACTCTCTTCTCTTCTGTCAGGTTTTGCTGATAATTTGTAACAATCCTGAAAATCAAAGGCTGAAACTGGAAAGATTTATATAATGGGAAAAGGCTGAATTACAAAGAAAATTAATCTAATTGAAATAAATTAAAAATTCCCGACTATCAAACCAGCTTAATCAAAGTCATTTCTCAATGAAACCAAA